TTCTCTCAGGTAGCCAATAGCCCCTCTTTTACTCTGTTGTTATGCAGAAAGCCTCCCGACACTATTTTCCAAAGCAACCCCCACCCTACTTAGGCCTTCATCATCTGTCACCTGGACAATCCCAAGAGTCACCTAATTGGCTCCTGTCACCCTATATGGTTCCACTTGGCCTGTTCCCCAAATCTCAGGTCAATCCCGTTACTCCTCTGCTCTAAATGCCCCTGTGGGCACAGCTCCCCCAAGCCCCAGCTTGGTCCCCAGTTTGACCTGCGGGGCCCTCCCCCGTCTGGTGCCTGTCTTTTCAGTATCACCTCCCAGTAACCCAGTCTCCCTGTCCGGCCTTCCTGGCTGTCCCCAGGTGTCCTGCCCAGTCCACCTGTGTGTTTTCAGCTATCCCCTGCCTTGCAAAGCTTTCCTGCTAAGTCGAATCTGTACAGCTCTGCTCTGCACATGTCTGAAGTTCACAGCATGTAGTGTGCGCACCACTCACTGGCCCCTGCCACGCCTGTGAAGTACCCATTTAAGTCCGAGACAGTCCCTCTGTGGATGGAAACTCCCCAGTGGCATCAACAGCAGCGGCAGCATCACCGCTTACTGGCGTCAGCAGGTGTCGGTATGCTTATGCCACCAAGACGGGTAATTCTCCCCTTAACCTTCTGAGTGGTCAGGGAGTCTTAGGGCCACTTTATAAGGAAACCACACCCCAATTCACCTGCCCGAAGCCGAGGGTCAGTCAGTTGGTAATGGCAGGGATGGGGCCGGGTTTCTAAGACCCTGTTGGCCTCCCTGCCTCAGCCTCTGTCTCTACTGCCTCCGTTTAATTTTTTGTTTACTGCCACATTAACCTTTCCTAAGCTCCATCTCAGTTCCCCTGCAGGCCTAGAATGTTCTCTCTTCTCCCCTCTTTCTACCCAAATTTCCCCTCCTCAGCTCCAGAACTCTTCCAGGGAGTCTTCCAGGATACGAGCACCTGGGTCCCCCTGAACCCCTATGGGGACTGGCACCCAGGACTTCATTTTATTAACAGCCATTAGGCATTGACGGCATATTATGCACCAGACATCTTTTTATATATCATTAACCTTCTCAACAAGCCAGAGATGTAGAGATTATTTTCCCACCCTATTCTACAAATGAGAACTCTGAGGCCCAGAGAGGTCCAGTGGCTTTCCCAAGGCCACAGAGCTGGCAAGCAGCAGAGGCAGGATTTGAACCCTTGTGTTTACTCCCTCACAGCACATGACACTCGGATGATCTCCTTCTGTTTCTCGGCCAGAGAAGCAGCTCTCAGAGGACAGAGACCCACCCTGTGCTTCTCTGGTAACCGCCCACCTCTACCCCCAGCACCTGGCCCACTCCTGGAGCCCAAGCATGGTGGCCTTGTATAGACAGGCCTGCATTCCAGGTCCCAGAGCAGGAGAGGGCCTGGTGGGAGGGCCAGGGCCCAAAGCCCAGAGTGCCAGCTTGGTTACCCAGCCCGCTGCTGCACTGTCCCTGTTAATTCAGCCAGTCTTGTGAAGGTTGCCAGCCCCACGCCCTGTCCCTGGCCCCCCTGGCTAGGACAGAGGGCCTTTCAGCCTGGGCTGCCGCCATGATCACCTTCTCGGGAGGGGCTGTTTTTCTAAACTTTTGATCCTGAGGCGGATGCAGACTGCAGTGAGCTGTCGGGGGTTCTGTGTGGTGGGATGTCCCGCCCTGGGGGTCCATGGCTGGTCACCTAGAGATGACTGCAGGTGGAGGGGACCTCTGGTGTCAGCATATCGGGTAGTAGCATGTGCATGTTTGTGTGAAGGTGTGTGCTGTGCGTGAGGGGTGTCATTTTAAACTCCCCACCACAGACAAGGGGATCTTTGTCTGCACTGCTCTGCCTTGCCATCCCATCAGAAGGGCCCCTGTCTGATTATTTTTATAGGGTATTTCAGACTTCTTTCTCTGCTTCACTCTGTCCTCCAGCGACTGTTCCAAGATCAATTTACCTAATTCTGCTTAGAGAAGAATGGCAGCTGGGGAACTCAGAAGCCAGGGCCTAATTCCCGGCTCCGAGGCGCTTGGAGTCTCATTTCCCCGCTCAGAGCCTCCAGAGAAGCAGGGAGGCAGCAAACACCAAAGTAAATGGTGTCACTAGAAAGCTGGGGCAAACCACAAGGTCTCCCTCTTCTCTTTCCCCACCGTCAGCCACAGGTTCCTTTTTTTTTTTTTTAACCCGGATTGTTCATCTGCAAAGATTCTTTATTCTTAATGCTTTATCTGCTCATCTTTTTGACTCTGCCTCAGTTTCTTCATCTGTAAAATGGGGATAATAGTATCTAACTCAGAGTCATTGTGGGGATGAAATGAAATATAAAACTTATAGGATAGTGTCTGGCACATAATGAGGGCTCATTAAATGTTCATAATTATTACTATTAAAAACAGGTACTGAGCCCTCTGCTGTGCGGGCAGCTGGCGTTCTCAGGAAGTTGTGCGGTGGGAGACAAGCAAGTTTGTCCAGAGGAGCTGGTCTACTTTGTTTAAAGCGCCCTCTGCTGACCATCGGCAAGAAGGCCTTGGGCAAGGTGGCAAGTTCACGGTGTAGGAGCCAAGTGCTAAGTGCCAAGGGGAAGGGGGACTTCTGCTGGATACAGAGCCCAGAGCACTACTTATCCCACTTCCAAAATGTCCGGCTTGGAGTATTTCTCTTTTTTCCTAGCCTGAAAATGGGTTCCAGAGATAGCTTCCCCAACAGGGCTCAGCAATACTAAGACCAGGACAAGCTGCCAGCCGCAGCTAACAGCCGCCTGCTCCCTGGCTGTGAGTTAACAGTAGGAAGGAGAGAAACTACATACCCAGCACGCAGGGCTTCCTGACGGCAAAGCGTGATGGGGGTGGGGGGTGGACGTGTTGGTTCTTACTTCGAATGAGGTAATAATGGTGGGGGGACTGCCCCATGTAGGATGTCAGATCAGGAAGAAAACAAATTATTGGGTCTATAAGCCCAATGCACTCAGAAAGTGGTGGTTCACAACAGTTCGTTTCTTATATTGCAAGATCCTCTCCTGTACCAGTGTCCAAAATAGATCATCACCCCACCTGCAAATGCACTAACCATTCACTATATCCCTGTGAGAGGAATAAAAAGAGGACTCGAGTTGAAGCAGGAGAAACTAAAGTTAGACTGCAGGAAGGACGGTCCTGAGAATAAAGCTAGGTGCAGTCTTGTCCCTCCAGAGTCTGGCATAGGAAGAATGCCCCCGGGGCTGTCCACAGAACTGATCCTCTTCTTCAAGGGGGTAGAGTAAGGGGGCTGGGAGACTGGCAGCCAACACCGAAGGATTCTCTGGGGCATTCTGGTAGGTCCCAGCTGAGAGGGGAAGAAGGGGAAGGGGGAAGCGGCCGCAGCAACATCATGGGTAATCGTTTTATTGCATTGTAGAGAATGCTGTTGTCCACAGATTACATGCAGCTAGGTTTACCCTACAAGGCCCTGGCAGCCTCCATGGAGGGTTGGGAGGGACAGATTACAATACACATCAGTGCTACTTCTTTAAACAGTGTCTGGTGGGGAAATCCTGGGACCAAGCCGAGCTCCCCAGCCCCTCTCAAGGTACCACAGGGGACAGGGAATCCACCTGAGGCTCTACACAAGCTTCCGGAGGATTAGGCCTGTGGAGTGGATGAAGGTGAGACAAGAGAACACGGGGTGAGTGAGCGACAGACAGAAATAGATAAGAGGAAAAGGACAGAATGGCCTGAGAGTAGACAGAGGTCAGCAAACACTCACCCTGCAGGTCCTCCTCCCGACATTTGGCTGGAGAGTTCCAGCAGTTTGATTTGTGGGAAGGGTGATTGACTCCAGTTCAGCTTTCTCAACACCCTCCCCTCCCCGATCCCCAAATACACTCTTTCTTGGGCCTTGTCCCTAGGGACAGGCCTGGGGCTTCTTTCTGCCCTCAAGGAGGGAGTGTCCAGAAGGTGGCATTAGACCAATGAGGGCTGGGCGCGGTGGCTCACGCCTGTAATCCCAGCACTTTGGGAGGCCAACGTTGGCGGATCACCTGAGGTCAGGAGTTCGAGATCAGCCTGACCAACATGGAGAAACCCCATCTCTACTAAAAATACAAAAAAATTAGCCCAGCGTGGTGGTGCATGCCTGTAATCCCAGCTACTTGGGAGGCTGAGGCAGGAGAAACACCTGAACCGAGGCAGCAAAGGTTGCAGTGAGCCGAGATCACATCATTGCACTCCAGCCTGGGCAACAAGAGCGAAACTCCATCTTAAAAAAAATAATAAAAAATAAAAAAGACCAATGAGACAGCCGAGGCCCTGCGGATGTGCAGAGTGGTCTGAGGTGGCGGGAGGGGCTCTGTGTTAAGGAGGGGTAGCAGGTGGGGAACCAGAACTTAACATGGGATGAGAGGCGCTGGCTGGTGTGCTGGGGCTGGGGGAGGTGTCAGGGCCCATCTTTGGCTTAACAGCTTGGCCCTTGGCCTCTTTCCTTGCAGTCTATCCAAGGACCCCTTTGTATAGGTTGCATGATCCCGTTTCCGCCATGAGCCCTCTATGACTATGACGACTGTGGTCACCGCAGTGTGCCACGTGTGTGTGCATGCACACTAATGGTCCTGCTTCAGGGTGCCACTGCCACACCTGGGCACGACTACACACACACACCTATCCAGGCAGCCCCCTCAAAGACGTGGACAATGGGCCCGGAAGGACACCTGGGCATGGGGGTGGACGACTCCAGAGCTGGTGACACAGGTAAAGGAATCCTGCGGCAGTGGTCCTCTCCATCCCTGCAGCAATTCAGCTGCCTTGCTTCAACACTCTGAAAAGAACTTGGATTTCGAACTAGGGCAAAGGATTGGGACTCCCCCATATGGCTACTCATTCCATTCACTCACAGAAACCATCACCACAGTGACCCTCACGTTGCTGCTGCTCTGCCCAGGCTCCCCCAGCAGAGCGATCTTTCAGCTTTAATGTTCCTCCCCTCCCGCATCTTGGCGACACACACAGGGCCCGGTGAATAGAGGACGTTTAATATTTCTGTGCTGGTCAAACGGAACACAGGTGGGGAATACATGGGGAGGGGGCAGAGGGCCCCCTGCCTCTCAGGAGGGGTGGCTTGTGAGGGGTGTATGTGGGGGATTCTTGGGAAATATCCAAGGAGTCTTCTCAGTAAAGGGGCCAGGCCAGGGGTGTTATGAGCATCCGATACGCCCAGTCCTTGGCCTTGAGTTGGGGTCCCCCATAGGGGGTCTGTGGAGAGTCTCACTTTTTTCCAGCTCTTTTGCTGGAATCCACACTCCCAGCACAACGAGTGACTTGGTCCTAGAGAGGGGTCTGGAGAGCCCCCAGGAAGCAGCCCAGGGTCGGGGAGGAGGGCTCCCATGCCCACTCCCGAGAGGGTGAGAACCCGCTTCCTCCCCTCCTTTCTCCTTCCCCCAGGCTGGGCAGGAGCAGAGGGGAGGGGAGCAGGGCCCTGCCTCCACTGAGCCCCAGGGTCCTCGGGGTGGATGGAGGAGGGGTGGAGAGAGAGGGTCTTGGCCACCAACAGACACTGTAAACTTTGGTTTAAAACAATAACTTAAGTGGAGGGAGGGCTTCCAGCCTGGGGCCGAGGTGGGAGACTGGGAGGGCAGGTGCTGGGGAGGCGACAAAGGAAAAAGCCAACAAAAAGTTTTGGTTTTTGCTTCCGGCATAAGAAAGGTCTTTGGTCATCCGTTTAACTGGGGCAGGTGGAGGGGCGGGGGTGGGAGGCGGGCAGGGCAGGGGAGCTGAGGGCGACTGCAGAGGAAGGGGAGCTGAGAGAGGGTAAGAGGACTGCAGAGAGGCCTGCAGGCTGGATGTGGGTGTGGAGCCGGGGTCCAGCCTGGCCTTCTCCTGGGCTCCCGGCCCAGGCCCCGCCTCTGGCCTCAGGGGGAGCTTGGCTCCACCTGCAGAAGCACACCTGGCACAGACCTCTGTGGGTGAGGCGGTACCAGGCCTCTTCCTATGGGGGTGGCTGGAGGAGCCCCCAGCAAACAGGGGTGGGGGTGGGGGTGGAGGCCTGGCTCAGCCTGGTTCTGTCTCAGGTTGGGGGCAGGGCTGGAGCCAGGTGGGCCTGCTCGCACGGACCCCCACAGGGCACACACAGTCCCACCCCAGCAGCAGAGGGGGCTGTTTCTTCTGGGGATGGTCTGGAACTTCAGTTCCTCTACCCAGGCCACGGCAGGGTGGGAGCTGGGGGTGGAGAGTTCTTTCTTCACAGTATGGAAAAGGCGGAGGAACGAGTTAGGAGAGTGGGGGCCTCTGGCCAGAAAACACGGCCAGAGCCAGGTGCCAGGGGGCCCTGGGTTTGACAGGGGTGGCTAAGCCCCGCCTGCGGGTCTCCATGGTGCTGAGGGGCCCTGTGGGGAGAGCTGGTGGGGGAGGAGGGCCCTGCTGCTGCTGGTGGTAGGGGGGAGGCGGTTTCAGATGTGGGGAGGGTCTGAGGAGGGGTCTGAACCCTCCGTGTCCTCTGCTGGTCCCAGACCAGGGGCTGTGTCCCTGGGGGTGGGGACCGTCCCTGCCCCCACGTGTTTTTGTCAGGTCACACTGGGAGCTGCTGGCCCGGGCCTCCCCAATCTGAGTCCTGGACTTGCCTTGAGGCTCGGGAGGGGCTGTGGAGTGAGGGGAGATGGGGCCTGGATTCTGGAAGGGAGGGGTCTCACCCCAGCCCTGTCGGTCCCTACAGGCCCTTAGGACAGTTCTTCTCCCGGCAGCTCCTCCTCCAGGTCTCTGTCTTCTGGAGGCCCCGAGGCGCTGGGGTTAGGGGTACCCAGGGGAGGCCCGGGCTGCCTGTCTTCCTCCGCCTCTGCTGGCTCCTCCTTCACCTGCACCTGGTGGCTGAGGCAAAAGTATGGCATGGGCACCCGGTGGCTGTCCTCTGATCCCCTCTGCTGCCTGCCCCCCAAACGCACCCACAACTCTGGAGCACAGTGGGGTGCTGACAGGCCCCTCCCTAGGATCACATCAGCCCTCAGGGCTGATCTCCCCTAGGGCTCTCTTCAAAGAAAAGCTGGTGCTGGGGCAGAGACTGCTCTGGGTTGGGGAGGAGAGAAGAGGGGAGCAGAGGGGAGATGAGCGAATGGAGGAAGGAGAAGAGAGAGAGAAGAAATGCCAGGCGAGGTGGCTCACACATGTAATCCCAGCATTTTGGGAGGGCGAGGCTGGTGGATCACCTGAAATCAGGAGTTCGAGACCAGCATGGCCAGCATGGTGAAACCCCATCTCTACTAAATACGAAAAAATCAGTCGGGCGTGATGGTGCATGCCTGTAATCCCAGCTACTTGGGAGGCTGAGGCAGGAGAATCACTTGAACCCAGGAGGCAGAGATTGCAGTGAGCCAAGATCTTGCCATTGCACTACAGCCTGGGTGACAGAGCGAGACTCCATCTTAAAAAAAAAAAAAAGAGAGAGAAGAGAGGAGGAGGAAAAATAAGAAAGGGAGAAAAGAGGGGGAAGAGAACGTGGGGAGGTGGGGAGAGGGGGTAAGAAGAACAGGCAGGTGGGACATGGGAGGGCTGAGAGGGCTGATGAGGGAAGGAAGAGAGAAGCCACTTGTTCTGGGGAGAGGCATGCTGGGGGTGGGATGGGGAACCTCACCCAGAGTGGGGGATGACGCCTCCTCCCTGGTGCTTGAGGGGCACTGGGGTGGGTGGGGGTCCATGCTGTGTGCTCACCTGTACTGGGGTGGGGAGAGGCGAGGAGGGCTGCTGCTGCCGTTGCTGGGCAGCTGCTCCACGGGGGCACCCACGTCATCGTGGCTGAGGGGCAGGAGGCTGCTGGCGGAGCCAGGGTTCAGCATGCCAGGGCTGTTGAGGAGGGGGAAGCTGCTCTCGGCCAGGGCGGCCTGGAGGGGCACAGGGTTGGGCCTTGTCAATGGCTCCACAGGACGGGGCACACTCAGTTAGGTGCTGTGCCTTCCCCATCTGCTAGAGAGCCGCCTGCATGTCTGCTACTGGCCCCCTGGGCGGGCAGGTCTGGGCAACCCCAAGCCCCAACTCAGCCTTTGAATGTAGCACCCCTCCCCCATGGCTGGAACTCTGACCCCCGACGTCCTATCTCCCAGCTTTCCTGGAACCTGGGCCTGGCTTATCCCCTCTCCCAGGGGACAGAGAATCCCCAGACTGACACACCAGGAAAGGGGATGCTATGGGTATGCCATCCTCCCAGCTGCCCGCCTTGTCTGAACCCAGCCTTGAAAGCAGAGGTGGAGGCTGGCCCCAAGTTGGGGTGGGGCAGAGAGGTGGGGTCTTGGAGAGTTTGGGTCTTCACCCTCTTTCCCTCCTCTGGCGAGTCCTCTGCAGGGGAGGATGAGCGTCTCTTGTATAAGAAAGCAAGGGGGTGGGAGGTAGAGGTGAGTGGGTGGGCTCTGGGCCGGTCACCTGGTAGCTGGCATTAAGTGCTCCATAGCTGAGGCCCGAGATCATGTTCTTCACCAGGGTGGGGCTCCTGGAGGACAGAGAAGGCCATCTTTGGCTCACTCATTCACTTAGCTCTTCACGTGCATCTCTTTACTCTTACTAAGTCAAGGCCTGTGCTGGGAATGGGTCCCATTCCCTATTCCGGGAGGCCAGTGCGGATCAGCCACTGTCTTGGAGCTGTGTGTGTGCTTGGTCTGATTTGGTTCTCACACTGAACTGGCCCTGCAGGAGCAGCCCCTTCACAGGTGGGTGCAGGGGGCTTGGTTCAGGGACCTGTCCAGGTCTCGGAGCTGGGAAGTGGGAACTGGCATCCCCGCAATGTCTGCCTTCAAAGCATGCTGCCCCCCCACCCGTTTTCTCTCTCCGGTCTAGATTTTCCAGTGTTTGGCAAGGTCCGATCTATAGCCTCAGTAGTTACACACCTAGTCTGCCCACACTGTCTTGCCATCCTAGATTCTGGGACATGTCAGACATATGCTCAGCCTGTCCCCACATGCTCCATACAGAAATCTTCTCTGCACAGGAAGGTGTTTGGGAGTTGGGACAGGAGAAGCAGTGGCTGAGGGCTGTCCCTCTTCCAGTGATGACACCATCACAGAGCTCTCACAGGGCCTAAGGAAGCAGCCAAAGGTCACCACACTGGTGAAAGCAGAGGTGCAAGCGCAGCCAGGTCTTCTGATGTAAGTCAGTAATGAGACATGGCAACACCCAGCCTGGAGACTGGCCCCGGGCATTCACCAGGGCATGGCTTCCCTCCATTCTCCACGCTCCCACACTGCCTGGGGTGCAAAGGCTCCTGCCTGGAGAGCAGGCATCTTTGAGGGGAGCAGACACCCCACACCTCAGAGACATCCATCTAACTTGCTCTCCTCTCCTTACCCAACAGCTTTGGCCCAAGGGGCACAGCAAGCAGGTGGCTGGGGTGGGGGTGTTTGGGGTGGGGAGAAGGCCACTGCTGCTACGTGGAAGCCAAAAGGGAGGTCCTGACCCTGTCCCAGGCTCCTCAGTTTCCGTTTAAACTGCCAGGTGGAGGCCAGGTGCCATAGCTCATGCCTGTAATCCCAGCATTTTGGGAGGCTGATGCGGGCAGATCACCTGAGGTCAGGAGTTCGAGATCAGCCTGGTCAACATGGTGAAACCCCGTCTCTACCAAAAATATAAAAATTAGCTGGGTGTGCTGGTGCACGCCTGTAATTCCAGCTTCTTGGGAGGCCAAAGCAGGAGAATCGCTTGAACCCAGGAGGTGGAGGTTACAGTGAGCTGAAATCGTGCCACTGCACTTCACCCTGGACAACAGAGCAAGACTCTCTCTCAAAAAAGTACTAGGCCAGGTGCGCTGGTGCACACCTGTAATCCTAGCACTTTGGGAGGCCAAGGCAGGTGGATCACCTGAGGTTGGGAATTCGAGACCAGCCTGACCAACATGGTGAAACCACATTTCTACTAAACACACAAAAAATTAGCCAGGCATGGTGGTGGACACCTGTAATCCCAGCTACTCGAAAGGCTGGGGCAGGAGAATCACTTGAACCCGGGAGGTGGAGGTTCCAGTGAGCTGAGATCGCTCCACTGCGCTCTAGCCTGGGCAACAAGAGTGACACTCCTTCTCAAAAATAAATAAATAAATAAATAAATAAATAAATAAATAAATAAATAAAGTAAAATAACAAAATTTAAATAAATAAATAAATAAATAAATAGCCAGGTGGTGAAGCCCAGCACAAAAGACTAGGAGGGCAGAGACCTGGTCCTGAACCAGCTCTGCCACAAATCTGCTCTGGGGCTTCCTGCCAGCCCCTGGCCCTCACTGGCCCTCCTCTGCCGTAAGATGAATTGGTGGGGTCCTGGGACCTCAGAGGTCTAATCATCCTGATAAGCTGAGAAAGCGGGTGTCCTGGGGGTGGCAGCCCCTCACCCATGGCCCGTTGGCCAGCATCTGCCTATGTGTCAGCTCTAGCCAGGGCTACTTGGGGCCCCTGTCTCTCTTTGCTACCAGGCCTCCCGCTTGGCCCCTTCCCTCAGTCAGAGCGAGGACAGAAGAGGACATAAATGTCTGCCTTCTGATTATCCATCACGTCCAGATTCCAGTCCCCTGTCCCCAAGCACTAGTCTCCTCTGCTCCTTTCTCCCCACACCCCTTCCCCCAGCCAGGAAGGATCTGGTGCACATGGGTACCCTGGAGAGGCAGGGGGTGGGGGTGAGCTAGCTTCTACCCCCTGGGCAGGTACACCCCACCCAGCTCTGGATGCACGTACCCTGTCATCTTTGGCGGTCTCCGCTTCTGATACTCCCGCTCATCCACAGTCCACACAGCACCTTTGACGTTCTCCACGCGGACGAAGCACTTGTGCAGGCTGAGGTTGTGGCGCACGGCATTCTGTGGGTGCAGTGAAGAGGAGCTCAGAGGCGGTTTGCTTGGCCAAGCACAAACAGGACAGTCCTCATCCCATCCCACGTCCCATGCAGCAGTGACCCACCTTCCCCAGCTCAGGGATGAGCAGGGGATGGGCGTGGGCTGGAAGGAGACCCAACCAAACGGAAGGCGGGCCCCTACCCTTTCCATAGAGCCAGGGCCTCCCAGCCTCTTCACCATGGATGACCCATTTTATTAGCTGCCTCCTCTCTCCCTGCCGCATCTTGGAAAGTTCTGTCTACTAACTAAATGCCATCTAGTTAGTAATAATCTGTTTCATCATCTTTATTAATCAAAGACACATGTAATTGTTACTCAGGGCTTTGGATCAACAGCAGATCACATTCAGGCCCCAGCATCTCTGCAAGCCCAGGATGCTTTATCTCAGGTGCATGCAGAATTTCCACTAAACTTTTAAAAGTTTGGGAAGGAACTCACAAACCCTCACTGCCACCTCCACTGACCCACAGGAGCCTGGGAGCCATGCTTTGAGCTGTGGCTCAGAACAGGCAGCTCATATTTTGACAGCATAAGGTATACAGTAGAGGCCTCATACATACTTGTTGAAATAGGGAGAGAGGAGAGTGTGGGTTGACAGCTGAGAGGCAGAAAGTGGAGAGAAAGAAGATAAGTCACCTTGTCCGTCCCACCTCCTCCTGGAAGGATAACTTCAAGAATTGAGGTCATCTGGTTTGTAGGACGCTTGGGTGAGGGCGGGGTGCTTGGCCCAATTCCCCTCTTCATCACCATGGGAGCCCGGACTAGGGCCCTAGTCTGCCCTGCCTCATCGTGTCCCTCAGTCCTGTCCCTGCACCCTCCTCTCTCATCTGCACTGCCCCCATCGACAGCTCCCAGTTATCACCATCCCTACCTGCATCCCTGTCCCTGTTACCTGTCCTCCCTTAGCCTCCCCCGCCTCGTCCCCATCCTTGTCTCCTCTTTACATTTCTAAACGGGGAAGAAAGCGGGTAGGGCAGGCAGCCCGTGCCCCTGGAGATCCCCTCTCCCTCTCTCCCTTCCAACTCTTGCCACTTGCAACTGGCCCGATTTCATTACCAATTTTAATTTGCCTCTAATTAAATCCTGTGTATTTTTCCGACTCGCTTGCTAATCCACGAGGGAGGCGGGCGGCTGGAGTGGAATCTCTTGGAGCGATAATTACAAAGGGCCTAATCACGCCGGGGCTCCTGCCTCGGAATAAATTTGCCCGCATTACGGGGCTCCGATCCTCCGCTTTGCAAATGAGAATGACCCCAATTTCCGAGGATGGCCTCACCGGGGCTTTTTTCCCTCATTTCGAAGCCTGATTCGTGATGAGAGACTAATTCGTTACGCTGAAACATTAACGGCAATTTAAGGGGTCTGGTGGCGGCTGCGTAAACAAAAGGACGGGCCCACAACACAGGCCTTGGGAGGGGATGGACACAGGGAGGGCCAGCAAGGACCATCAGCTTGGCAGATGGCAGCTCTGTCCCTGGATGAACGGCAGCTGGCTGGGCCCACACCATGCCGGCTCCCAACCCTTCTGCCCTGGTCTGAGGTGGAAAGTATCTCAGGGTGGGAGCCAGCAAAGGTGAAGAAGGGAAAGAAGGAAGCACAAATAATGTGGGAGAGGAGGAGAGATGACCTGAGGGGCTGAGAAATGAGTGGAAAGTAGAGGTAGAAGGGAAGCAGAGTTGGGTGTAGGTGGTGTATTTCCAAAGTAACATGAATGAATTTGGTTGAAAAAAACCAGAAGGTCAAAGTGGACCTCAAGTTGGATGGATTCTGTTGTGCCATGAGGAAGGCTCAGGCAGTTTCCTCGGGCAACAAAGGCAGCAGCAGAGTACTGCTAACAGGGAAAGTCACCACCACTTTCCCCAGCCCAGATGCTTCTTACTGGACCCTAGACTAGGTGAGGGGAGATGGGGGTGAAGAACTAGGAAGGAGAAACACACCACAGAGATGTCAAAGGCGGGGCTGGGCAGGGTAGCAGGGTTAGAATATTGGGGGGTGGCTTCAGGATGGTCACTGAGTGGTTTAAGGAAGTCACCTAATCTGACCTCAAGAGAGAATTAATTGCAGCAGGGCATAACAGGTAAGACAGAAGGAAGGAAAGAAGGAAGGTGGCTTCGAAGTACTTTGCCCCCAAAAAGGAGGCTGTCTTGTGGAAAGGAGGCTCTGTATTGCTACCCCTAAAGGCAAAGGATTAATATGCATTATTCAACATTAGGTAATAATTGTAACGATCCCTTACGTTTGTAGGGCTCTATCATTTATAAAAATCTGGTATCTGAACTGACTTGGAGGTTGGAGACTGGACCAGGTGGTCCCAAGCAAGCCCTGCTGGCTCAGAAAGAGGGCAGGAATGTGGTTGGCAGAAAATGACATCACTCACAGCCAATTAGAGCAGCTGTCCCAGCCTCCCAGCTTCTCTCCTAAGCTTTGGGAATTGGGCATGGGCATATGAAAGTCATGATGCAGTCCCTTCGGCTGCATTTAGCACACTCCCAGGGCAAAGGTAGGCAGGCACTGTGCAGACCCCACCAAGTCCTGGGCGCTGGTGGGGAGGAGGGGCTCAGTGACACTTGTTGAAACCTAGTGGGATTGGGGGAGGTAGCCCGTTTAACTGCAGTTTCTTCAGTGGCCAGCAGGGGGACTCAAGAGCCAGGGATCCAATTAAGGTTCTGAGATAGCGTCCTTCCTGGTGTCTAAGCTTCCCTGCAGGGGCCAACACTCTCTCCTCCTTCCCCCCGCCCCGCCCCCCCGACCCCGCCCACTCTCCCAATTTAGATATCGCCTTCCCACCTTGACACTCACACACACGCACCCCTTTTGGCTATAGAAAAATAAATGGCCTAGTGCCCTAGCATCTCTGTGTCCTATTTTTCTAGGGTCCCCCTCTTGCCTGCTTCTGCTCTCCCAGGAAAACTTATGGCTGAAGGTGTTGAAATGACTAATTGGATGGAGACAATTATCTTCCTGCCAGGGACGGCAGTGCTGGGGAGGGCTGTGAGTGCCGTCAGTGCCCCAGAGTGTGGTCCATGGCTCTTGGTCCATCCATGTGTCTATACCTGCACCTTCCTAGCCCCAGCCCAGGCTTCAGAACACGTACCTTAAGCCAACTTGGGCATCAACAATTCCTAGAGGCCCTACTTCATGGGGCTGGCATCTTTGGGGCCCTTGGGGGTGTGCCCTAGAGAAGGATTGCGTCCCAGAAAGGAGGCAGCACCAGGCTGGAAGGAAGGGATCCCTAAAAGGAGGTTATGGAACAATCCACGGCTCCTGCTGAGGTGGGCGTGGGCACGCAGCCCTGGCTGGGCTCTTGGGTGGCTGTTTCTGCACGACTAATTGTTTAGGGAACTAATTATTAGGCAGCCTTGGTCTCCACGGGATATGGTAAGTCCAAGGGTGACTGGGGCCCAGAAGGTGGAAGGGGCCTGCTTCACCTTCCAGGTGGCAGTGTTTCTGCGGAAATAGGCGAACATCCTGGTGAACCAGTTATAGATCTCATTCAGGGTCAGCTGCCTGTCAGGGGTTTCCAGGATGGCCTGCGGGCAAGGACAAGCAAAGGGACAGTCAGCCTAGGCCTCAAAGGGTCACACCTCTGGGATCCCTCCCCCAGTTTCTCTCCCTTCTGCCTGGCCCCGAGCTCACCTTGTGAGAAGACCTGCTCAGAAATGTGTGGATAGCAAGATGGGTGGTGGCTGGTGGGTCCCCTGAGAGAGACAGGCTGGTTACAGCCCGGCCAAGGATAAAGAGGGCAGGAGCTTCCAAGGGCTATATATTTGTACAAAAAGGACTGGAGCTGCTTCTGGAGAGGAAATGCCTTTAGTACCCAGCCCTGGACTGAGGGTGAAAGCAGTCAGTTCTGTCTTTCTTGGGATAGACATCCACGAGGTAGAGGCTGTTTGGAATTTATCCTGATTTTGGCAAAAGGCACACTAAGCACAGTGTGTGTGTGTGTGTGTGTGTGTGTGTGTGTGTGTGAGAGAGTGAGTGTGTGAGAGTGGACATGCCTGTGTGGGTATCAGGGAGAACATATGTATCCATGTATATTCACACTTGAGTGTGAATACTATGTGAACACTGGTGACATGAAGATCATGGGCTTGAGGGAGGAAAGAGGAAGACAGACGAAGAGCGACTCTAAATCTATCATGGGGTGCTGTGTACATGGAAATCAGCACACAAATGTCAAGGTGAGTGTCAGCAGGAAGAGCAGTGTGTACACCCCCAGAGACACATGACCCTACCCAGCAGGCTGACGGGGCCCAGCCCGCAGGATAGCCCCGCATGGCAGAGAGGGAAGATGGCCATGTGAGAGGGAACGGGACAGCTCCATTGGCCCCAGGACCCTCCTGGAGGCAGGGGTGTGGCGGGGGCTGGGGAAGCAGCCTGTGTGCCATTCCCTACCCTCCTCCTACCTGCCCTGCTCACCTGGCGGATGAGGGAGGCGTAGGTGAAGGGGGGCCGGACGTCGGCGTTCTTGTAGAACTCATGATTCTGGGCCAGCTCTGGGGAGACAGGCAGAGGATGAGGCAGCCAGACATGGGCTCAGCTGGGAAAAACAGCCTCACTCTGCTATCACCCTGCAGCCCCCAGCCCACCCTCACCTGAGGAGATGGGGGAGCAGAACTTGTCACTGCTTCTCCGACGGGCTGGGCCTCCACCATGCAGGGAGGCAGAGCCCAGGCCAGGGGGCCGTAGGGGGGTGACAGGGGCTGCGGCCGAGGTCGGGGGATGCACGAGACCATCTGGGAACGAGTCTGCTGCAGAGACGGTCACCTTGGAGAATGAGGAGGAGCCGGGGACCGGGTTCAGCTGTGAGCAACGGGGAGGGTACTGAGACCAGTGCCCGAGGGTGGGGGTCCCAAGGCTCCGGGGTCCGTGGAAGGCTCTGGGAGGGGTGGGGAGGGGAGCAGCACTCACTGGCTGGCTGAAGGGCTTGGGTTCCGAGGGCCGCATGTGCAGGTGGGCCATCATGGCCTGCAGCCGCTCGCTCTCCTTGGCGAGCTGTGGAGGGTGGCAAGGCAGGAGGTGAGCAGGAGGCTGAACCCTGGAGGTAGTGTTGTCCCATCCCTCCACCGCCAGGCCCTTCAGAAGGTCACCGGTTCCCACCCCCATTCGCCTCCTTGCCTCAGCATCCCAGCTCCCTCTCTCCCCCGCTCCAGGGAGGCCTCAGCAATGCTCTGCCCCTCAGGGGCTGCCAGCTCCATGAAGCCTCTCCCTTTCTCCCCTGGATGGCAACCATTTGAGCCTTCCCAGTGCGTCCTGGCTGGAGCTTATCCCTGCCTCTACATGTTGGGGGACTTCTTCCTCCCCACCCACAGGGGGTGGCCACTGTGCCTTGTGCAGTGGCACTTGTGTGTGAGGGCCTCACATACTGAATGCAGATGCAGGAATGGATGAATGGCTCAGACACCCCATTCATAAACTCAATGGGTCTTTCATGACCACCCTCTCATGGCAGGGCTGAGGGTGATGGGCAGGTGCTGGAGGGAGAGGGGTAAGCACAGAGGAGCTGCCCTGAGTAGCTTCCTAGGAACCCTGTGCTGCCGAGTGTCCCCTCCCAAGTAGCTGGGAGGCTCCCTTGGGAGAGCCAGGCTTCCTGGGTTCTAATCCCAGCTCTGCCACTCACAGGCAAGTTACTTGAGCTCTGTGGGCCTGTTTTCTCCGTCTGGAAAATGGGGACAATAATGGTACCCACCACATAAGGTTGTTGAGAGGATTCCTTGAGTTATATAAAGTATTTAGTACAGCACAAAGTAAGTGCTCCATGTGTTAGCTGTTAATATTATTTTTGATGTTTCTATGTAGCATGAGTCTCTTCTGGACCTCCCAGCAGAGACGCCCCCAACCTTGGTTTACCCCTCAGAATCCAGCTGTCCTCACCTCACAACCATGGTCATTAGGACCTAGAAAGCATAAGATGGTGGCTTTGACCATAGGACCCTTCCATGAGACCCTCCCAACAGAGCCCACCTAGCAAGTCAGTGCTGTGGGTGGGCAGGGGCTGGAGTCCGCCACGTCCCTCCCCAGCATCTTCCGGGCCACACCTGGATCTCCAGCTGCTGCACCACCTGCATCTGTACCCGGCACTGGGCTGTGCTCCGGTCATCCAGGGCATGCTCTGTGTTGAGGTGTCTTCAAGGGGAAGGGAGGAGAGAAAGTTGCCTCCGGTTTCCCTGCTGCCACCATCCTCCCATCCTATCCTCTAATCCCACCCACGGCCTGAAAAGCAGACAGACCAAGAGATACAAAGAAGAGAAAGAGGTGGGAAAACGGGGCAATGGAGGAAGGCTTCTCCCTTCTCCTCAGCCTCCTTTGATGTCTTTGCTAAAATCCCAGCTACAGAGAGATCTAATTGCAAATGAACTAATTAAGTAAACCTCTGACGAAGCGTGAAAACAATTTGTTTGACCCTGATGCTGCAAGGGTCTGGGAGACAGTGGAGTTAATCAGTCAGTGACAGAGCCTGGCACGGCTGTGGCAGCTGGCCGCCTGCTGCCAGCCGCCTGTCCACCTCCTGCCCTGCCTGTCTGTGGCCCTCAGCCTGTCACTCGCCATCACTCCCTGGGGCTGAGGCTGAAGAGGAGCTGGGGAGGGTGGGGGGAGGAGAAATGCTTATGTTTGTCCTCTCCTTCTCCTACCTGCACGCTGTGCCGGGGATGGGGTCGGAGAAATGCAGGCCCAGAAATATACACGGGATAGGGAGTGGGAGATCAGGGAGTCCGTGGGGGGCAGAGAAAGAACTAGAACCCCCTGGAGTGAGGACAGTAGTACAGCTAGTGAGGAGGGCCCCAAGAAGGGGCAAGCTAGTGGGCAGGGATGGGGGAGGGGCCCTGTGGGGAAACGCTGCTGGGGGAGGGGCTAGGGGTGACACCTACTTGATAAACTGGCCCAGGTCTTCGCACAGGGTCTCACAGCCTGGCCACTTGCACTCTCCGTGTCCGTACAGGGGGTGGGAGCCGGGGGTCTCCTCATGGGAAGAGCTGGGGGGACAGCAGGGAGGTGGCCTATCAGGGACCCTGAAGACCCCAGCGGCCCTGTAGTCAGCTGAGCACCAGCTCCCCTGCTGGTGACATTTCTGTCCTTAATACAGGTTTCCTAGTGGCCAAGCACCATCTGTACACCCCAGGAGAGGGAGTGAACCTCTGGTCCCTGGGCTCCACCCCGTCCCTCCCAGTCCCCATCACAGAGTCAGCCCTCGGGGGGGTGGGGGCCAGGTCTACCCCCAGGGAGGGCTTTGGTGCCCCTCCCAGCCTGGGCCCCATACCTGTCTCTCCGAGATGTGAGCACAGTGGGCTGTCCGTTGGGCAGGGTATGGTGGGAGAGGGGGGGTGAGACCTTGGGGGGAGCAGCGAACGAGGTAGCGGTGGCGGCCGTGCCAGTGAGGTCCAGCCCCTCCTGCTTGACGCTGTCCTCGGCAGGCTGCCCGGGGGCACCCTCACCCTTCCACAGCTGGGGCAGGTCTGTTGGGCAAACAGCTGCTGTGGGAGAGACAGGGGAGGCTGGCAGGGCCCCACGAATGCTCGGCTTTCTACCTGGCCCCAAGAGCAGGGGCTGCCAGCTCTTGGGTGCAGGCAGGGCTGTCGGGTTGGGGCTGGGAGGGGAGGAGTGATGGGTGCTCACCTTGCGGAAGGGTCTGGAGGGGCCCCGAGGCTTGGTTGGGCTGCAGGCTGACCAGCCCCTGCCTCTGCAGGTTGAGCAGGTGCTGCTGCTGCAACTGTTGCATTTGCAGGAGCTGCTGCTGGAAGGCCAGCTGCTTGTTCCCCAGCGCCTGGTGAGGGGCCCGAGGGGGCGGGCAGAGAGGGGTGCCATTAGCTTCAGGCATGCCATCTGGCCCCCACCCTGCGGCCACCCCCTCCCAGGGCCTGTCAGCCCCTGGAGCTGTCGTTGTGGCGTCTGCAGCTGCAGTGTCTCTGCTCCCGGCCCAGCTTCCATAAGGCTGCATGCCTCCTCGCAGTAAACACACGCATGCACGCACGCACGCACGCGCGCAAACACACACAGCCAGACCCAGACACGCAGCACGACGCCCTCCCTCCTCCCGCCTCCCTCCTTCCGCTGCTTCAGCTCCCTGCACCGCAGCTGTGCACGCCTTGGGGGGGGGGCCTCATCACAATGATCGATGAGCCTGTCAGATTCTGGGGGCCACTCCTGCCTGGAGGGCACCCTTCCTACATGCCCGGGGTGCCCCCCTTCTGCTCTGGGGAGGGGGTTTTCTCTCCCCCAGCTCTTTTCCTCTCTTGTTTTTTAGATACAGAGAATCAAGGAGTCTGACGGGACTCACTGGGATCCAGGCTCGAAGAGTCACATCACCACTGCCCAGGCGCCCTGTGCTTGCTGGCTCACCCACTCTACCTACCCCCACCCATTCAGTTCTTCACACAGGCACTGACAAGTCAAGCTGTCAGCAAGTCTCTTTTGAGCCCCAGAAGCCAAGCATGTCCTGGGTGGGTTGAGAGGCAGAGATGTCTCTGCCTGCCTGCTGGGGGTGGGAAGCATGGGGTAGGGTGGGGGCTAGCTATTCAATACAGAGACACAGGATAAACTTAGCCTAGAGATTTACCTGCCAATAACAGAGCAATTATAAGACTGTGGAGGGGGAGGCTGGGGGTACTGGAGAATGCCTGGGTGTCAGGGCAGCCTTCTGGGAAGAGGAAACTGAGAGCTTGGGACTGTGGTTGGGCAGCAGGAGAGATGTACAGGTCTGGGACCCAGGGGAGAAGGGCCTCCAGGGCCTGGTATAGAAGCTCCGATGGGGCAGGGGGTATAGTCCGGGGAGCTCTGAGAGGAGACTGAGGGGCGGCTGGCCAAGTCATGACAAGAACGGGAAGAAGCTGGGGGCAGGCTGAGGTAAGGGTAGGTGGTTTGCTGAGGGACTCAGAGATTTGCAAGACAAGGAGGGGAGGGCTGAGGTGCTGGGTCACCAAGAGACAAGGGTACAGGAAGATGGTGTGACCACAAGGCAGCTGCACACGAGCAGACGCCACACACGGGGGTGGCCCGGCAGACGCCACACACGGGGGTGACACGTACACACCTGTCTACACCCATGTGCACAGAGACAACAACACGAGGCAAGGAGAGAAAGAATGAATGAAGATGAGGGGAGATGGAGACGTGCAAGAACCACCATCCTCATTTCCCCCATACTGCTCCTTGATCCCCTTCCTCAACCTTGATTTTTCTACTATTCCTGCAAGGCAATTCCCTCCTGACTGGCTCTGGACACGCAGCCTCCGGGCAGGGGATGAAAGCGGTGGTGGACCCTACTACGGCCCCTTACCTCTTTGGGCTGTGGCTTCCCAGCCTGCTGCTGGGTGAGGAGTTGCAGATGGAGCTGCTCCTGCTGCTTCTTGTAGTACTCCTGCAGCTGGGGGGTGGGGGAAGGTTACCACTGGCAGGGGACTGCTATCCCCACAACCACCCCAGCCCTGTCCCATCTGGGCTCCTGGGGGCAGGAGAAGGGAGTTTCCCTAAAACATGGCCTAGCTCTCCCCAGTCAGCCTGGAGGGGCCCTGAGCAGGTCTGGGTGGAGAGGGAGGGGGCAAGGGATGGAGGAGGTTCATTCCCACAGCTCTGAACCCTCCCAGCTTTTGGTGGATCTCCTGAACAGGTCATAGGGGACAAGGTGCCAGGATGTTCCAGTACTTTGCCAGAATTGGGGCCAGCATTGCAGGGAGGGAGGAGGGGGAGTATTGTGGGGGCAGGGCTGCCATGAGAGATGCCTGACCTTTGACCTCTCCCCACTACCCTAGAGGAATGCAGATCAGTCTGGCCTGAGCAGTCTCTCTGGTTTCTGGGACAGCTTGGGCCCTTGGTAAGGTGTAAACAGGGTGGGAGGAGCCAGGTCAGGCAGAGGAGGAGGGACCAGCTGCCCTGGGGCCAGACTCACCTGCTGGAGCATGAGGGCTTGCTGCTGCTGGAGCAAGGCCTGCAGCTGCGGGGGTGACAGGATCTGCTGCATCTGTTGCGGGGTAAGCATCTGCGGCGACATCATGGCCACCGACACAGGCACCTGCGGGATTCAGCCCATTAGCCCCGTCCCCTCGACCCCACCCCAGAAGGAGGCACCACCCACGGCCCCACTCAAAGCGTGGCAGAGTGGCTCCCAGGGAGGCTGCCTGGGTTCCAATTCTGGCTCTGCCACCTGCTGGCTGTCTCTCTCTTTGGACGGTGACTTACCTCCTTGTTGTCTGTTTTCCTTATCTCTAAAATGGAAACAGTGATAGTGCCTACCTATTAAGGTAACCATGAGGACTAATCAGTGAATACTTAAAACAAGGCCTGGCACACAGCAAGTGCATATAAGGGTTGGCTATTACCATAGGACGTGCTGTCCTCAGAGCAGGAAGTGACACTGGTCAGCAGAACCCATGCTTTGGCTGGTTCCCCCCCGTAATGGGGAGGGGCAGCACACTAGGCCACCCATAGTCTTACACAGTCTATTTTGAGACCACTTCCTGCAAGGTGGGCCTGGCTGGGAGGGCAGTCTACAGCATGGGAAGGATTCAAAACGTGGCCCACCTTTGCACGAGGACCTGCACTTTGTCTCCTCTCACACACCCCAGCACACCTGCCTGGAGGGCACACACAGTGGCCAGAGCTGAAGCCCACGGAGTGCTCTTGGTGCCATCCTGGTCCTGGTGTGTGTGCATGTGTGTAGCTATGTCTAGGGTGGGGTGGGAAGAACAGCAGGCAGGGAGTTAGCAGGGCAGGCTTCTGCTCCTAGCTCTGCACTGAACTGGCTGTGTGACTCTAGCAAGTCACTTTCCCTCTCATGTTTCGGTCTCCTGAAACATAAAACATAGGAGACTGGGCTGTAAGAGATGATTCCTTCTAGGCTGGAACATTCAGGATTCTCAAAGTATAACCGCTTTCTGCCCCCTGCCCTGGGTCACGCCTCTAAAGAAGGCCCAAAGAATCCAGCTATAGGGAAAAGATTCAGAGAAAAGCAATGACATCATTTTCTTCCCAACCCCACCTCCCCTGAACCCCCCAGGCTTGTGCAGTCATGGACGGGCAGGTCTCAGCTGCTATTCTGTCTTGTTCCCGTTTTAGCAGGACAGGTGCTCTGATGGGGCTGTCTGCTGCCCCCTCCACTCTGTGACCTCATGCATACAGGACTCTTCTATAATTTCCTCTCTCACTTCCAAGCTCTGGCAGAGTGCCTGGCACACAGTAGGTACTCACTAAGTGTTTGCCCCCCGGAGCTGAAATGCCTTCCCTGGCACCTCAGAGGCCCCTCTGCCAGCCCCAGAGCAGGAAGGGAAGGGTACAGGGCTAGCCCAGTCAGGGAGGAGTGCTGTGCAGGGACTTGTCCTAGGCTACGACAGGCTAGGTCCTCAGGGTCCTCCCCCAAGCCTCAGTCTCACCTGTGGGGTAGGGGAGGAGGAGTTGGTTCTCTTTTCAATGCCTGGCAGGGGCAGGACTCAGCCTCGAACCACCCCTTAAGCCATGGATTAGGAAATCCCCAGGCAGAGAAGCAACCGGGGAGGTACAGTGAATCCAAGGACATCGGGGAATCCCACTGCTCCCAACACCTCTTGCTCACCCCACCACTAGCGGCTGTCCCTGCCCCTGGGCTTTACTCCTCTATCCCAGTCCATCTCTATCCACAGGGCCCTGGGAGGGGTAACACCTAGCTCTTTAGTCATGGGCATACCATGTGAATGAAGTCTCCAAGGGACCTCTAGGCCACTGGGGAATGTACCCTTAGAAGTCTTTTTAGTTCTTTTTTTTTTTTTAACCTCATTTTTACCAATGAGGAGACTAGGAAAGTCTGGTGGCCTTAAGTGGCAGTGTTGGGATTTAAGCCCAGGTCTGCATACTCCATAGCTCTCAGGGTTTTCACATCCTATGCTGCCTGCCCCACCCCAGGGCAGGTCTTGGGAAGGGTTAGGGAGAGAATGTGGAGGTGGGACGTCTGGAGGCTGAGGGGGCTGATATGGCTGAGATCCCACAGGCTAACTTCCTACTCTATGGTTATATCCCAGAAGGACTCTCTGAAAGCCAGGCTGCAGGGGTGGATGTGGGGGCCTGGGGTTGGAGGCAGACAGTGGCATAGACCCAACACCAGAGCCAGCCCCTAAGTCTGTTGTTGGGTGTTCCAGAGGCAGCTGGGGAGGCTGCTCAAAGAAGGTGGGTTTTGCCATCCAAAGACATGGAAGAAGTATCATTGTCCTTTCTTTCCTCCTCCCAAGGGGGTGCCCAACAAAGAGAGGCATCCTGGTGGGGGTGAGCTCAGAGCCCTAGATTTCTGGGTCAGGTGACCTTGGTTTTTGTCCCTGATATTTACTAGTCTTGAAATCACCAAGCTTCACTTTCCCTGTTGGCTAACTGGGATTTGGGGCACCTGCCCTCCCTGCATCATTAGCGGATGTTGTTGACTGCTTATTACGTGCCAGGCATGGCACTTGGCTAAGCCCTTTACACGTATATCTCATAGAATCTTCAGGGCAACCCTGTGAGGATGGTGTCATCATCATTAACATCTCACAGATGAGATGGGAAAACTGAGGGCCAGAGAGGTTAAATTACCTGCCCTGACCCTGACCCCAAAGGGACAGTGGGAGCGGAGTGAAAGTGACTCGTATGCCATTTAATTCCATGTAAACATGAAGAAAATCACTTTTTAAAACATTCTGGATTTTCCCTTTCCCCTCTTCTGTCTCCTCCCCTGGTGTGCCTTAGGTTACTGCCAGACAAAGGTCACTGAGGACCAAGGCACTAGGACACTTATTCTCACTGCTGTGAGAGCTGAACTAGAGATGAACGTGGCCCACAACAGGAAAGACTGAGACCAGACACTCAGAAGATCTTTCCAGGCACCAGGACTGTGAGTCACTGACAGGGGCATGCAAAAAAAGGATGTGGCCTTTCCTACTTGGATGCAGGGGAATGGAAGAGATGACCTTGGAAGGCCTCCTTGGCACTTGCTGCTCCTGCCACTTGGCTGAGCAGCTGCCTGTGGAGGCTGCTACAGAGATCTGGATGGATTACATGGTGTGCACTCGTCTCGAGGTGGCCCACTGGGGTCACAAAGGGTCTGGGAAGTGGCTGCCGCATGCTGATCTCTCGAGCTGGTTGACCTCATCCACCTCTCCCTGTGCCCCCTGGGGGTCTGAGAACTGAGCTAGAGCTCCTCTGGTGTCCCTGCTGGCCGCTCGCCAGGCTCAGATGCCTCGGGATGGGTGCTCTGCAGCTAGCAGGCTCAGCAGGGCCCATGAGTCAAGCATCTGGAGAGTAGTTGGGCAGCTAAGTGCTAACTGAAGCCCTGGCGTGTGAGCCCTGGGCCAAACACCGGCAGCTGCCTCCAGCCCCTCCCTCAGGGACCGTGCACCCAGCCATGAATACAGTGTGCTCAGCTGGATGGTCTGACTGGAAGGAACAGGGACAGTGCCTGACACACAGGAAGCTTATTTGGGGGCTGAGAGTGGGAATGAATGCAATTTGGTGCCAGGGTCAAGGACCCAAATTGTCTCTTAAGTATGGGGTCCTGTGAGTGGGGGGCAATGTGGGGAGATCAGGCCAGAGTTTGGTTTGGCTTAAACTCTCCCGCAAATGACCAGAAGTCCTCAGACTAATTCTGGGCTGTAGCTGCAGCAAGGAAACATAGCAGCGCAATATAAAGAACTTCTGGAAATGCCAGATGGGGATGGATGAAGCCAAGGCCCCAGCCACCTTTGCCTCCCCTATGTCCTCAACTCTCAGCCACCTGTGCCGCCTTCTATGACAGCCCTCTCCCTGGTGGGGTCCAGGCCTGGAAGGAGGGCCCCTCACTAGGCTGGAGCTGGAGACCTGATAGTTTTGGAAACTCTTCTAAAGCTGACTCTGGAGGAGAAGGGTGGTGAACGTGGCTGGGAGGTGCGCGGGCAGAAAATTCTGCTGGGGAGCAGAGCAGCATTCTGTGGGGAGCCCTGGGAAAGGAGCTGCCCTTGATCTCCCTCCATTATCCACTGCACTCAGGCTCAAGGTGCACTATTCTGCTCAGGTGGGGAGCCCAGGCCTTGCTCTCACCAGTCTTGAGCTCACAGAAGAGCATTTCAAGGCCCTGAGCCCTACTTTAGGACAAGGATCCGACCTCCTTGGAGATAATAAACTTAGGAATAGGGGCAGAAGGCAAGGAAGGTGTCCAGGGTTGGAGGAGAAATAGAGGGATCAATATAGGCGGGGAATCCAGGCTCCTGGGGGAGCATGGCTCCATGGCCCCAAGAACCCCCATCTCCCTGAGACCCTGAGAACTATCTGGCCTAGGCTTCTACACCTGGCAAATATTGGCATTATTACCATGCCAAGCACAATGCAGAGATTAAAAGTGTGAGTTCTACTGGCCAGGCACGATGGCTCATGCCTGTAATCCCAGCACTTTGGGAGGCAGAGGCGGGCAGATCACCTGAGGTTGGGAGTTTGAGACCAGCCTGATCAACATGGAGAAATCCTAAAAATACAACGCTACTAAAACCTACTAAAAATACAACTCTACTAAAAATACAAAATTAGGTGGGCGTGGTGGTGCATGCCTGTAATCCCAGCTACTCGGGAGGTTGACGCAGGAGAACTGCTTGAACCCGGGAAGCAGAGGTTGCGGTGAGCCGAAATCATGCCATTGCTCTCCAGCCTGGGCAACAAGAGTGAGACTCCATCTCAAAAAAAAAAAAAAAAATGAGTTCTGGAGCTATTGGGTTCAAATGCCTCACTCTGTCCTTTATTCGTTGTATAACTCTGGACAAGTTTCATGACCTCTCTGGGCCTCAGTTTCCTCATCTGCAAGATGGGGCTAGAACAGCACCTCTTCCATAGAACTGTGAGGATAAATGAGATAGCTGTAAAGTGCTTAGTGTCTACACTTCATGGTAAACACTGTAAATGTCAGTTGTTAGTTTGGGGTGTACTCAGTAAGTATTTGTTGAATGAATGAATGAATCAATCAATCAATTTTTGGAAGTAATGAGACAAGGAGAGAGAAGGCCTGAGAAAAAGATCATTTTATCTGTCTCTCTGACCCTGAAACCTCTAGGCCTCTCTTCTTTTGGAGGGAGGGAGTTTCCTTAGGAAGATTCCATAGTCTTCCTTCATCTCTCAATCATTTCAGATCTGTGACCCCTAATCCCCAGCTGAGCAGTCCTTCTGGACGTCTGACCCCAGTCCCTCCCACTACCATCAAGCTCCTTCCCTCCTGCCCCTGCATCAGCTGCCCCTTTCTGGTTTGGGGGAATGTTTGCTGTTGCCCAGCCTACTCCTTCCTGTTCTAAGCTGGGCCCAGGGCAGGGAGGATTCAGAGTGGAAGCCGGAGAAACACTTCAAAACCTAGGAGTGTATGTGGGGGTCATTAATTTAAAGAGACCCAATCCTGACCAGCATAGGTATAAGAACCTTTTAGATCTCAACCTGATGAGATCTTTCTCTTCCTCTCTTCATTGACTTTCCAGATAGTGTCTTCCCCTCCTCCACCCCAGGCCACGCCCTGATCTTTGCCCAGCTCCTCCCCTTTGAGGCTTGTCTCCTTAGGGTCAAGAATTTTAAAAGAGCGTTACTGCTAAGGCTGCACATCTGTTGGGCACCTTGAACTTTTTCCAAACATAAACTTGTTTTACATAAAATCCAGACTTTGTCAGAGCACTGGAAATCTCCACCCAGGACAAAGCCTGATCCTGGGTCCTTCTCTGAGCACCCAGCACCCACCCCACCCTCCTCCTCACTTCCCTCAGCACCCAGCCCCAGAATTTAGAGCACCTCCAGCTCAGGACCAACCATGCTCACCCTTCTTCCCTTAGATAAACTTCCTTTCAAAGCCTGGCTTAATCCTTTCCCCAATTCTGAGCCTCCCTCTGCTGGGGGAGGGGTGGGGGGAGCATGGATGCCCGGCTGCTGGGCAGAGGGGGAGGGGAGTGGCTGCCCGAGTAGTGACCCAACCCGGACTCAGACTGCAATTCTCCCAAGTTCTTTGTGACACAAAAGGTAAACAGAAGGCCTGGCTCCCCCACCCCCCACCCACCCCCACAGATCTCCCCTCCCACAGCCAGCCAGATGGGCTGGCAAGCTGGGGGGAAGGGAGAAGGGGAAAAAAGGGCAGATTGTGCAAAGGAAAACAAAAGAGACAGAGAGACATCAAGAGACAGGAAGCAAGGAGAGACTGCGAGAGAGTTGGTAGATGAGGGATAAGGGGGGAGGATAAGAGAAGGGGGAACTTCGTGACGTGACTGCAGCAACAGAGATCGCCTGGGAGGAGCCAAGACCCAGACACAGGAACAGAAAGGGACAGAGGGAGTGACCCACAGGGATGCAGAAACATGAGAAGTGACCGAGAGAGACCCTAAAGGGAAGAGGCAGGGGAGAAGAAACAGTGAGAGAGGTACAAAGAGACAGGGAGAGCTGCAGACAAACTTTGAGTGACAGGGATAAAGAGGCTAAGCTAGCAGAAGGTCTGGCTGATCAGGTGGAGACAAGAGAAAGTGGAAGTCTTTTTGCCCCACCCCTGCAGTGACTGTATTTCCTTTGAAAAGCTGCCCACTTTTTGGTGTTGGAACTGGCAAGAGCAGTTCTCCAATGGGTCCTTGCCCTCCCTCTGTGCCAGGCCCACTCTCCAGCCCAACCCAGAGCCAGCAGGGTGCTCTCCTCCTCACCTGCACAGCAGAGGCAGACTGTTTGCTGTCATTGTTCCCTGGGGAGCTCAGGCCTGAGGCCTGCTGCAGCAGGAACTGCCGGGCCACCTGGAGAGCCTGCAAGACAGGGGCTGAGTCAGCAACGGCCTGGGAGGCTGGGTGGGATCCAGAGATTAGGGAGTGTTTGGGGCAGTAAGGAGAGGGAGCTCAGGATAAGGTGGAAGGTCTTGGGGGTCACAGGGTCATGGGTCCATAAGGGCTTGGGATAAGGGCAGTAGGAGTCACTGAGAAGAGCTGTCAGGGGTTCAGGGATCAGAGCCTCTACAGACTCAGCCTGGGACCCAGTGAAGTTTTGTTAGGACCCAATGGGGGCAGCAAATGGAAGGGCCCATGGTCAAAAAGGGACTCTAGAGGAAAATAAAGGTGGTGGACTCAGGGCATTAGTAAATCAGTACTATTTGTTGAGCATCTACTATGGGTCAGGCACTGTACAGGCAAGAGCTTATTTAATCTTCCTCTGTAAGGCTGTGAGGTAGGGATTATTGCCCCATTTTGCAGATGAGGAAACTGAGTCTCTAGGAGGTTAAGTAACTTACCCAAGATCACACAGCTAGGCAGCATCAGAGCCAGGATTTGAGCCCAGGAAGCCTGGCTCCAAGGCCAACTGCCTTACTGGGTGGTCAGTCTGGGGGCTAAAAAAGTAGTATTCACTGTGGAGCCAGAGCACACATTTGGGGGGATGAGGGAAGAGCCCTGGGGTCAGTGGCACAAGGTCTGAGTACTATGTGACTTTCTGAGTTCAAGGATTGAACATGCATGGTGCTGGAGGAATTAGATCAAGTTCTGAAAGGTGAACTATCAGCAGAGATGCATGGACCATCGTGCTGTGGGCTTGGTGGCCACAGTGGCTTAGACTGAACTGAGTCAGAGGGGTCACAGGAGTGAAAGGCATATGGAGATTCCTGGAGGAATCGCTCTAGTGGGTCAGTGTGACAGTCAAGGAGTAGGAGGGGCCTGGGAGGTAAAGTGAAACACCTGGTAGGAGTGAGGGGTCAGGAGGGTCCAGGAAATTATCTATGAGGCCAATCAAGCCCTCTATGTCCTCACTCTGGTTCAGTGGGAGGTTTGAAGGCAAGTTCTGAATCCACATTTCAGGAGCACAAAAACTTATCTGCTTCCAGATTGCTCAAGACCCCTCTGGGAGTCAGTGCAGGTGCATCCAAGCCCTTGACACAGGGCTTCAACCTTAGGCAGTCCTGGCTTTGAATCCCAGCTGTGCGGCCTGCCAGCTATGACCTTGGGCAAGTTATTCCAGTTCTCTGCACTTCAGTCTCCTTATCTGCAAAACTGGGAAACTACCCATCTCCAAATTACTAGGGGGATTAAAGGACCAATGTTTGGCATCCAGTCGGCATTCGGGAAGTGTTCACTCCCTTCAACTCTCATTAATCTCTCAACAATTCTCCACTTCACCTCCTACAGCCTCTCCCCAACATAGCCTTGTGCCCTGCGCACTTATTAGACGAAATGCGCCCGCTTGTGGCTCGCTTTCACATCTGTCCACACATTCACTTGTTTTTGCCATATGGACCCCTATTCTCCTACCCCACCACAAGCACCTTCAAGGCAAAACCTTTTAAGGTGGGATATGGATGCACTACCCATCGCTCAACAAGCAAAGAGAGTGACCACTGTGTAGCAAGCATATACACACATCCACCTTCCCGCCTGTTTATCATCAGTGCGAACAGCTGAGCCTCCTGAGGCTTTAAATCTAGTTTATCTTAGGAGGGCATCTAAATATGCACTGGCCTATGACGGGAAGGTGTCCTGCAGCAAACCTGGAGCTCAGATTGGTGTGCTCCTCACAGGCCACCTCCTTCCCTGGATGTCACACCCAGAGAAGTGCCCTGGGCTTCCAGAGGGAGACAGGATGTTTCTCCTCTTCTAGATTCACTTCAGAAAGCAGAAATCTGACCTTTCTAAGTCAAAAGGCTCTGTGGAAAGAGGAGGAAGGGTGGGGTGGGTGGGTGAGGAAGGGCAGGGAGTCAGGTGGTCATTAGGAAGGAGCCCCTGCCTCTACTACCTTTTACACACCCCTCCAGTCTACTGACAAGTGCTCTTTGTCCTCCAAAGGTGGAGGTAGGGTAGGGTGGAGGGGGTACAGGGGTCAGAGGCCAGGGGACAGGGGTAGGGGAAGAAGATGGCTCAGAGAGGCTGGCCAGCCCAGGTGACCAAAAAGGGACACTGGTTGGGGTGGGGAGATGAAGCACTCCATATCCCTGGGGGACAGGAGGGAGCAGCAGGGGAGGAGCTTCTAGGGGAAGTTGGGGGCAGAGCCCTGCTCAGTCTCCTGGGGTGGGATGGGGGGTGGCCAGGGGAGTTGAATTCACTCCCCACTGACTCTCTTACTTTGTGGTCCCCTGGAGCATGAAATTACACGATTTACAGGAAAAAAATGTCAAGGCCTTGCAATCTCATTCCTGAGACCTCTCCCTCCCTGTGACAGGCCCTTCCTCCCCCCACACCCCCACCCACAACCCCTTTCCTTCTTCGTGCCCAGGCCAGGGCTCTCCCCTTTAGGCCAGATGAGAGCCAGGTAAGACCTTAGGTCTGGTCAAGGCTTCCCTCCCTCAGCTTCCCACCATTTCTTCTCATACGTAGGTCCTCACTCACCTCCTCCTCTCACATCTATGAAGTACCTGCTTCGTGCCAGGGACCAGGCTAGTGGCTGGGGATACAGAGAAACAGAACATGGCCTCTGCCCCCCAGGGCTCACAGCTCAGGTTCTGTGATGATAGCCTCTTATATAAAGAATGATAGGCTGGGCACAGTGGCTCATGCCTGTAACCACAGCACTTTGGG